CAAGTAATTTTACTATCTGGTTGTGTTAAGCTTTTCTAGAGCTGATTCATCGTTTCTCTTATCGTCCGTGATCGATTTGAAGTTGGAATCCAATCGCATATTGTTTTCTAGGGTTTTTGGTTCTAATGCTGCTGTTTTTCATTACCTACAGAGGAAGTTGCGGCTCTAGTCTCAGTGTTTAGTTTGAAGATCGGGAATATGGGGAAGATTTTAACCGGGTTAGTGTTGTTCTTGTCGTTGCTCTCATTACTCCTTGTACCATCGGAATCGGCTGTTTCGAGTGTAGATCTAGGTTCGGAATGGGTGAAAGTTGCTGTAGTTAATCTGAAACGGGGACAGAGTCCAATCTCTGTAGCTATTAACGAGATGTCCAAGAGGAAATCCCCAGCTTTAGTGGCATTCCAGTCTGGTGATCGATTACTCGGTGAGGAAGCTGCGGGGATAACGGCTCGTTACCCGAATAAAGTTTATTCACAGCTAAGGGATATGGTGGGAAAACCATTCAAACACGTCAAGGATTTCATCGATTCAGTTTACTTGCCATTCGATATTGTGGAAGATTTTAGAGGTGCGGTTGGTATTAAGATCGATGACGGTTCAACTATTTACTCGGTGGAGGAGTTGTTAGCTATGATCTTGGGTTATGCTTCAAATCTAGCAGAGTTCCATGCAAAAATCCCAGTTCAGGATATGGTTGTTTCTGTTCCGCCTTATTTTGGACAGGCCGAGAGACGGGGTTTGATCCAGGCGTCTCAGTTGGCTGGGATTAATGTTCTCTCCCTGGTTAATGAGCATTCTGGTGCTGCTTTGCAGTATGGGATTGATAAGGATTTCTCAAATGGGTCGAGACATGTCATATTTTATGACATGGGTTCAAGCAGTACTTACGCAGCCTTGGTCTATTACTCAGCTTACAATGAGAAGGAATTTGGCAAGACTGTCTCTGTCAACCAATTTCAGGTTAATAATGCTCTTATCTTAAAATATATTGAAACATGTGTTACATAATCTCCGCCTACACATGTTTATTCGTTTACTTCGGTCTTTCAATATATTTATGTAAATGTAGGTCAAGGATGTTAGATGGGACTCAGCACTTGGAGGACAGAGTATGGAGATGCGCTTGGTAGAGTATTTTGCAGATGAATTTAATAAACAACTTGGTAACGGAGTTGATGTGAGGCAGTTCCCCAAAGCAATGGCTAAATTAAAAAAACAAGTCAAACGTACAAAGGAAATTTTGAGTGCAAACAATGCGGCTCCAATATCTGTCGAATCTCTCCATGATGATCGTGACTTCAGGTATATAATGTTAACTTTGGATGGGAATAACTACAATTTATCGATGTTTCTGTGTTTTATCAGCTCACTGAACTTGGTTTCAGAAGTGTTGAACTATGATTTGTTAATCTGTATCCAGCATCTAATTGTGGCCCTTACAATTTCTGAATATTAGAGTTATAGTTGCTCGTCAGACTTACTTTTTTCCTTTCCCATGCTCGAATTTGCATCATGATGGGTCTAATCTGTAAGATGTGCGTGATGTGATATGCTAACTTATCTTCTTTCAGGAGCACAATTACCCGTCAGAAGTTTGAGGAACTGTGTAAAGATCTGTGGGAGAGATCTCTTACACCTTTAAAAGACGTGCTCAAGCATTCAGGTTTGAAGATGGATGATATATATGCAGTGGAACTAATTGGAGGAGCTACCAGAGTTCCCAAGCTACAGGTAAATGCATTTATACACCGTATTTTCATGCCCTTTTAGCCAATCAATTTGACCTTTTCATCCAAAATTATGAGACTTTTATCTATATCTTATCGAATGAAGTGAAGATCTGATCTTTTTTTATATTACAGAGTACGATCCAGGAATTTATTGGGAAACAAGAGTTAGACAAACATCTGGATGCTGATGAGGCTATTGTCCTAGGCTCAGCACTACATGCTGCTAACTTGAGCGATGGAATTAAATTAAAACGTAGGCTAGGTATAGTTGATGGTTCTCCCTATGGTTTCCTAGTGGAGTTGGAAGGCCCTAATATCCAGAAAGATGAGAGCACAAAGCAACAACTCGTACCACGAATGAAAAAGCTACCCAGCAAGGTATAGCATCATTATTCTTAAACCATTTTGAACTGTTTGTAAAGCTTATAAAATGCTTGTCTGGTAATAAATCTGTATACCTGATTCTCTCACAGATGTTCAGATCCTTTGTCCTTGACAAAGATTTTGACGTGTCACTTGCTTATGAGTCGGAGGATATTCTACCCCCAGGGATCACCTCCCCTGTGTTCGCTCAGTATTCTGTTTCGGGTCTGGCGGATGCAACTGAGAAGTAAGAGCTTAAAGTTCTCTTTTATTGTTCTGTTTAGCTATGCAAAATCTTCGCATAAATTGTAAGTTTTTGATCTGCACAGATATTCTTCTCGGAATCTATCAGCACCTATCAAGGCAAATTTGCATTTCTCTCTGAGTAGAAGTGGGATTCTCAGTCTAGATAGGGGAGATGCTGTGATTGAAATCACAGAATGGGTAGAAGTTCCTAAGAAGAAGAACGTGACTATTGATAGTAACACAACCACATCCACAGGCAATGCCTCTACTGGCGCTGCCTCTGACGAGAATTCAGAAGAAAATAAAGAGGAGCTACAAGCTGATGCTGGAGACAGCACTGCGTCAAATACAACGGCAGAAGAACCAGCTTTGACAGAAAAAAAGCTGAAAAAACGGACCTTCAGGGTTCCTCTGAAGGTTGAGTCTGGCTTACTGTTTCCGAGATGTTCTATGATCCGTGTCATTGCCACTAACCAATTCTGTTTTGAATATATGACTTTTAGGTAGTTGAGAAAACAGTTGGACCTGGAGCACCTTTTACGAAAGAGTCTCTTACCGAAGCTAAGAAAAAATTAGAAGTCTTAGACAAAAAGGATAGGGAAAGAAGAAGAACGGCTGAGTTAAAAAACAACCTTGAATCCTATATATATGCTACCAAAGAGAAGGTGTGTGTTTCGTATATATCCTTATTTTGTCTACTTCATGGATCCCTATTAGCTATATGTTGTTTTTAGTTGGCATTGTTCATAAAACTCAAAGCTTTGGTTTGCTTTTGGTCCATGTACAGCTAGAAACACCCGAGTTTGAAAAGATATCCACCCAAGAAGAGCGCAAGGCGTTTGTTGAGAAGCTTGATGAGGCATG